TAACGCGACATCTCGTCAAGTCATGTGACATTACTCATGGCCTAATTCCCACTAAAAACATTGGTTGGTATAGAAAACGTTGGAAAATACATTTCGTAATGATCTTTGAAACATGTTATTGGTACCACCTAGTGCATAAAGAATAGATCTTTCGATCCATGTGCGACATGTGTGTGAAAGTGACGATTTCTTTCTAGAATATCAGTTTAAAGTGCGCTCCGGGCGCGGGTCGCATATTTCCCGCATATTATAGAGGGCCGGAGTTCTGACGTTAATCGACGACAGACCAATATGAAAAAAGTTGATAAAACGTCAGAATAATTCGGACTATACGATCTGATACGATGGTCCCGCTTGACAATCGATCGTGTTGATCGTAGAAAATTTTGAACCGTTCAAAACGTTTCTACGATTAACACGATTGCCACGACTGACCTCAAGATCTGATGAGATCTGATAGGATCACCACTATTAGTCCAGGATTAAGACCACGATTTCAATCGTGCCGCGAATAGTGATAGTGGGAACTTTGCATTACAGAGGTCTTCATTACTTCCGTGTTACTTAACATGCGTACGCCCATGCGTTGATTTTTTTTTTAATTGTGCACACTAGAGTAAACTTTCCATAAGTTAAAAGATAATTGGAATTTAAGGAATGCATTGTTATGATTTTTTTAATATTAACACACGTTATACCCCGTGCACACATAGACGCCGCTTCTACTACGATAGTGGGCGAGAGCGTGGCCAATCTCGGCCAATCGTGGGAGGATCTCCATGAGCGTGGTTTGGTCGGGGTAGGATCTTATAGGTCGGGAAGCTGCACTCCCTCCTCACGCTTATTTTGAACGCGCAAAAAATAAGCGTAGCCGGGTCGTGGCCAATAAAAAGCGGGGCAAAGTCTTATTTAGAACTTAGTGGGAACACCATTATCGTACAAGCAGCGTGATAGCATCGTGGTAAGATATCGATGGTGGTAACAAAAAAAGCAGCAACGGCGGCAACTATTTCAAGCCGTTTTAATGAGCATGGTTTGGTCGGGGTGGGATCTTGTTGGAGCAGAGCCATTTAATTCAAATCAGCATCAGGTCCGTTCATCGTCGAAGTTGGGAAAGAACTGAAGAAATGCTTGAACATCCCCGATTTATGTAGATATCTCCACAAATCGTACTAGAAGCACCCAAGAAGTGTAATATGGTCATCACCAGCGTAGAGACATCGTCCTACAGTCTTCTGGGTCTGTGAATCAACGTAGAATGACCATGTACGTCGTAGCGGCAAAGAAGTAGAAACGACCGCTTGGTCGGCATTGGTCTACATGTAGGTGTAATTGTAGTGGCAGCGAGACAGCAGAGCTTTTAACGTAGAAGCATCGCAGTACAGTCGTGCGAAGAAGTCTTTAATTTCCCAAATTGCTGGATTTTGACGGCGATAATGCCCAGATTGATAACTTTTTAATTGGTCTTCGTAAGGTCGCAGAGCTGTGTAAACGGGGTATTAATATGCAGTGAAAGTTTATGTGAATTTCTCTAACGTTAATATTCCAATTTAATATTTTACTGATATGAAAAAACCCCAAAGAGAGCTCGATACGCAGGTTGAAAACAAAATAAATGTAAACAAAACCCCCACAAAAAAAACAAGGTAAAACCAGGTGTTTTGGAAGGGACGTGATGCCTTTTCATGTTTGCCAGCCGTAATGATATCGCTTGTGGATTCTTGATATTCTTCTAAATCTTCCAAACGTCAATATTAAATTATGCCTGTGTGATGAAACAGACATATTTTTGTTAAGTTTCAACAGAAAGCAATAAACGAAATTTAAAGTCTCTACATGTGAAAGAGTTTGATATAAATAGAAAACGCATTAATATTGCATTCTCATATACATTAGAACATAGATCAGTGTATTTCACGAAAGACAATCATATTTGCATTCCACATTTAATGTAAATGCATTTCATGAAGTTGTAACGAGAAGTGTTACAATAACAGATAACCTGAATTACTAATATAATAGCAAGAAGCTATCATGGGACTTTACTAACTTAGATTTATTGATCATAAGATAATGTTACAATTCTTATACGGTTGTAATTGAAAAGTGATGATGCTCTTTCGTAGATGCGTCCCCATTACCACGCCTTGTTTACATATATTGCTATTGTTTTAGCATTTTGAAAACATTTCTAAAAAAGTATTTTTTACGATTTTTTGTGACCTTCAAATATTTCATCATATGATTTTATAAGATTAATAAGAAGTGATAACTATTTCTATCAAACCTTCAAACAAGTGGGGATGATGCAGTGCGGAAAATTGTATGTATGTGTTGTTGGGATACTTAATCGTCAACGTCGCGCGGTGTGAGGGGAAGTTTTCTCTGAAGCTGTGAAAATATACTAGCCAAATAATCTCTGAAGCTGTAAAAATGTATTAGCCAAATAATCTCTGAAGCTGTAAAAATGTACTAGCCAAATAATCTCTGAAGCTGTAAAAATGTACTAGCCAAATAATCTCTGAAGCTGTAAAAATAACCTAGCCAAATAATCTCAGAAGTTGGAAAGATATAGGTTTTAATGGGAGAGGAGATCCCCTGCCACGATTTGAAAATACATCTTTCCAATGTTTAGACAACGAAACTAAAAAACAACAACAATAGATTGGTTATTTACCGTTACAGACGGAACAATGATGCTACTCCTACCGTCGGCTATGTATTTTGGATTCTAGGGTAGGTCTGTTACTTCCTGGTAACCCTGTTATGGTTTCTGCTCTATAGTTCTACAGAAGCTCTTGGTTTTTCCATGTCTTATCCAGTTTGATCTTGAATGTATTAGTATTCATTGATGTAAATACGTGTTCCGGGAGGTTTTTCCAAGCTTTCGCCACTCTCGGAGAGAACATTTTTTTTTGTATCCTCTCTAATTTGGCCCTCTATGGAAATATTTGTCTTGAATTTCCGCTCGAACTATTCCTAGCGGTGACACCGTTCCAATGTTTGAGGATGTTAATTGTTCCTCGTGGGTTTCTATCATGTCTCCTCTAATGCGGCGGGATACGTGTGGAGGTAGGTTTCGCTTTCTTCGTATTGGATATATTTCGTCCCTGGCAGTTGCTTAATTGCCCTTCTTTGGACTCCCTCCACCTTTTCGATATCTTTAATTTTAAATGGCGACCAGGGCCCAGTATTCATGAAACATTTCTCATGCTCAAACATGGATTTTGTGCTCAAGCCTTATTTATTGTTCCAGTTATAAATTAATAAAAAAAAAAAAAAATTGTCAATGATTTGGAATAAATTATAGGAGACTTTTTAGTCTCCTAAAATTCTATTTTTAATGTCTGCATTTGACTTTTTGATTGTTTTACGTGATTTTAAGTGAGTTATAAGAAATCTGGTTTGAGCACAGAATCCATGCTTCAGAATGAGAACGGTTTCATGAATACGGACCCAGAGCTAGCCAAGTCTAGGTGAGTCTGTACTAATGTTTTATATAGTTGTAAGAAGAATTTTTCGTCCAGATGATTTAAAGTTTTTCTTAGTATTGCAAACATGGTGTTAGCTTTATTTACTTTTTCCTTGACATGAACTTCAAGGTGAGGTTTGAATTCACTATTATTCCGATATATCCTTTTCGCTTGTGTATGTTGTAGGGTAAGTTGTAGTTCCCTCTGATGGATCTTTTCCTCCATTCTTCTATGCTATTCAAACCTTTCTGTAGTGAAGCCTTTTCTTTTTTCTCTGTGATATTGAATATCTTTGTATCTTCCGCGAATATGAATACGTATATGATGATCTGACCAGGTCAGGCGACGAACATCACGAGAAGAACAGGTCCGAGAACTTGAAGCCTTATGGAATTCCTGACATCACGCTTGACCATTCTGAATGTTCTTCGTCGACAGTCACCCGTCTCTTTGTTATTGATCTGTTAGAGCCACTGACTCGAGAATTGGTATGCATGATTTCAGCTTGCTTCATAAACGGTTATGAAAGACATGTACAATGTCGAAAGTAAACAGTCCACTGATAGTTCCTGCTGCAAGGATTTCACGTTCAATAATTAACAAACAGCAGACATTGATTATTATATATACCTCTCTGACTCCTTTCATTAGAGTTATATTTTTGTATCACTAGTCCAAATCGGATTTTTTTTTTTTTTATAAATTTATGACTGTTTGAAAATGGTAACCTCAATTTTCAACCGGAATGAAATTTGCTACCTTTCCGAGTCCTATGTATATTTATATAGCATATGTTTTGTTTTTGCTTGGTTTATTTTATCCACGCGTGAAGTACTGTAGCTGTAATGTGATCCGACTGCTTTGCCAATATGTCGTTTTCTCAAAAACGACTTCATGTAAAGAATTTGCACATTAATAAAAAAAAAATTGGGTAGGCCTAGATAAATAACTTTTCTTATGTAGGCCTGCTCCATTTGTTTTCTTGATCACTCAAAGACAAAGTTCTGAATGCCAGATTCGACATAATCATTTAAGGAGGAAGTACACAATTTATTGTTGGAGAGACATAAAACTTAAGTATTTTCCAGTGTTAAGCACTGGTGCTCAGGTTCTGGAATATATGTGATATATTAAGGCATCGAACATCACTGTGGTAATAAATAATTGGGTTCTAGAAAATATATAATATTATCTGTTTACGTATTGCAAGTTCCTAAATATATATCGCATACAAAATAAAAGTAACGTTATATTCCAGAACCCGAGCACTTGTCCAGTTAACTCGAGATTACTGTATTTTTGCTGATATGGTTGTAATGAGTGCAGTTGACGTTACGAAGATCATAGCTCAGGTTAAAGCTTCAAAATTATCAAATTGATCATTATATTATCTATTGTCATAAAAAATGCAAAATAATATATAAAATCCTTATTCCGGAAAAGCCTTTCCCAATTCCGAGTTATTTAGTATATCATCATTGGTACTTCCGGTAAGTACCTTGAAATGTGCTATGAATGTTGATCTGCATGATTTACAGCATTATTTTAGTTTGTTTGTTTTTTCGATATGGGTTAGAAATTATATTCATTAGTATGTATAATGTTTCTTTTAAATTATGTTAACAGATGTGGTGATATGTCACGAAAAGTCCAAAATATGCTAGTCCGAGTTTCCCCTGACACCAGACTTCTCTGTATCTGTATCTGTATATTACTGGAAGACCTCAAATTTGAGTATAAATTCCAGGGTTGGAGGAGGGCACTTATATTTTATATTGTTTCAGTTTGTAGTGCTGTCTTGAAGCTTTTAAGTTCTTGCATTTTGACGAGGTCTTCTGGTAGGTTATTCCACTCTGTTGTTGTTCGAGGAAAAAATGACTTCTGCCATTTAGAAGTTATTTTTTTCAGAAATGTTAGTCTGATGAAACTCAGGCTAGCAATATGACTGTTGACAGTTGCAGCACAGGTGCTTGCCTTGGATATAATGATAATGAATATTGACAGACGAGGCCTAGCTAGGCTAGTTAACAGTATGTTACCAGGTCCAGTACACTCTGCCGATATACCTATAAATTATAGCTGTATTGAGCTATATTTTCTCAGATTTCAAATTTCATTAAACTAAAGCAAAGTGCCACAAAACAATAAGGTTTATGGTAATGTTGACTACAAAGAGCATACAGTTAGATGTTTATTTTCATTTTTCATAAATGTAAATTTTTCAATTATTTTACATCATTATTTTTTAAAAAGAATACTTATATTTAATGTCTTTTGTTATAAACCTGATGATACAATCTTCTTTTAAATGCGACTTTATTTCGATTTCCTTAAAAAAGAAAATCACTTGAAAATAGCTCAAAAGACCTATTTCAGATAGGTCAATAGAGCTATTATAGGTCTTTACAGCTATATAGCTCAATTGGCAGAATGTACTGGACCTGGTTACCGAACCATGTTGCGCCTATATTAGCTACTTCAGGCTAACAACGTTGCCGACGAAGAGGTAAACAGTACTGTATCTGTGGTACTCTAACAGTGTTAGAGGTTTACACGGCGAGCTACTTTTGACAGGCACGTCGCAGTCGGCAAAATCATATCCAATAGAAAAAGCGCCGACTAGCGGCCTCTTATGTTATAGCACAGAATTAGGTTATCTAAGTCCCCGTATCTCGCCTTCCTTGTCACCGACTGGGAATTGTACATGTACTGCGATTTGTTCTGACTACTTCATGGTTACATTGGTGGCATCTTGTCGTCACATCACAGCAGTGAGAAGGAGGGAAAAGATGACAGGCTTTTACATTTTTGTAGTTTTTATCTGACAAGGAGGAACCTAATGATTGTGTTTTTTAACCAAAAGACTGTCATCCCTTATTAAAATTGAAAATTGTAAATTATTTAAGTGTTTCCTAATTATATACTTTAACAAGATATTAGGTTAGCGTTGGCACTTTTTAGTGGAAGTTTTGATGTAATGAAGCATTTGTTTTAGAAATCCAGTACAAATGGCTGCAGTAGAACTTGATCCTGTGTTTGTGAAGGCATTGAAACTACTGCACTCAAAAAGCCGAGACTCAGCTGATCAACTGTGCCAATTGTTGGATGATGCTATTGCACAGAGGAAAGGTCAAAAGGTATTACTATGATAGAGTATATAGCTGATATAAGGATTGTTGTATTTATGCTGTATTTTAGAACCTCTTCCTAGCTTAATCTGGATCAAATAACTGAAGGACACAATGTTATGCTGTTCAATATATATATATATATCACTATTAAGTACAAGTTTCTTGTTTAAAAACTTTTACTTTAAAATTGCATTGTTTTTAAACCATGAGATAATCTGATATTATGTGACTGCAGTGTTAGTAACTGAATTGTGACAAGTTAATGAGCTTGTTAAGAACTAGGTACATTCCACGTTACTGTATTGTGACAAGTTCATGAGCTTGTTAAGAACTAGGTACATTAAACGTTACTGTATTGTGACAAGTTCATGAGCTTGTTAAGAACTAGGTACATTACAAGTTACTGTATTGTGACAAGTTAATTAGCTTGTTAAGAACTAGGTACATTAAACGTTACTGTATTGTGACAAGTTAATTAGCTTGTTAAGAACTAGGTACATTCCACGTTACTGTATTGTGACAAGTTCATGAGCTTGTTAAGAACTAGGTACATTACCCGTTACTGTATTGTGACAAGTTAATGATCTTGTTAAGAACTAGGTACATTAAACGTTACTGTATTGTGACAAGTTCATGAGCTTGTTAAGAACTAGGTACATTCCACGTTACTGTATTGTGACAAGTTCATGAGCTTGTTAAGAACTAGGTACATTAAACGTTACTGTATTGTGACAAGTTAATTAGCTTGTTAAGAACTAGGTACATTACACGTTACTGTTTTGTGACAAGTTAATGAGCTTGTTTAGAACTAGGTACATTACACGTTACTGTTTTGTGACAAGTTAATGAGCTTGTTTAGAACTCGGTACATTACACGTTACTCTATTGTGACAAGTTAATGAGCTTGTTCAGAACTAGGTACATTACACGTTACTGAATTGTGACAAGTTAATGAGCTTGTTAAGAACGAGGTGCATTACACGTTACTGTAGTGTGACAAGTTAATGAGCTTGTTCAGAACTAGGTACATTACACGTTACTGTTTTGTGACAAGTTAATGAGCTTGTTAAGAACGAGGTGCATTACACGTTACTGTAGTGTGACAAGTTAATGAGCTTGTTCAGAACTAGGTACATTACACGTTACTGTTTTGTGACAAGTTAATGAGCTTGTTTAGAACTAGGTACATTACACGTTACTGTATTGTGTCAAGTTAATGAGCTTGTTAAGAACTAGTTACATTACACGTTACTGTATTGTCACAAGTTAATGAGCTTGTTAAGAATTAGGTACATTACACGTTACTGTATTGAGACAAGTTAATGAGCTTGTTTAGAACTCGGTACATTACACGTTACTCTATTGTGACAAGTTAATGAGCTTCTTAAGAACTAGGTACATTACACGTGACTGTATTGTGACAAGTTAATGACCTTGTTAAGAACTAGGTACATTAAACGTTACTGTATTGTGACAAGTTCATGAGCTTGTTAAGAACTAGGTACATTACCCGTTACTGTATTGTGACAAGTTAATTAGCTTGTTAAGAACTAGGTACATTCCACGTTACTGTATTGTGACAAGTGAATGAGCTTGTTAAGAACTAGGTACATTCCACGTTACTGTATTGTGACAAGTGAATGAGCTTGTTAAGAACTAGGTACATTCCACGTTACTGTATTGTGACAAGTTCATGAGCTTGTTAAGAACTAGGTACATTACAAGTTACTGTATTGTGACAAGTTAATTAGCTTGTTAAGAACTAGGTACATTCCACGTTACTGTATTGTGACAAGTTAATGAGCTTGTTAAGAACTAGGTACATTACACGCTACTGTATTGAATTTGAATCTATTCTTAAATACTAAGGTACTTTTAAACTCTTTCACAAAGGAATCAGATGTTTTCGAAAGCCAACATCTAAAGTTTTTAATTACATTTTGTGTTCAAAACTGGCTTAAAACCATTTATTATTCATACCAAACTGATGAATCTCATTTTGATCTATATATATATTTCTTTTCTGTTTATTGGTATGATTGCTATGCAACGAGATGAATTTTTTGATCATATTTAAATGAAGGCCAATACATCTTTTGACACACTATAACATTATTTTATGTTAGCTTTCGACATACATGTAGCATTTGGTTAAGTGAAGATGTCATGTGTTTTTTGTTGGTTCAAATCCTGGCCTCTGTTCTAATGCATTTCTTGTCTGTAACAGACAATTATTGTGAGGTCATTTTATACCAGTGGCATTAGCTAACAAGGGTACATCACTCCAAGTAACATAAACAATAAATATTTTGGATTTTAGAGATAAAGTCCATGCAAAGTTACACACTGTTATAGTCCGAATTATTCTGACGTTTTATCAACTTTTTTCATATCGGTCTGTCGTCGACAGACCGATATGTCGTCAACAGACCGATATGAAAAAAGTCGATAAAATGTCAGAATAATTTGGACTAACACTGTTAATGAGTTCAACAATTATGACAGTCAGTTTGACTGAATACATGAGAAAACAAGACAGAAAATATTGTTTTAATATGTTTAGTCAGTTTGACTGAGTAAAAGACATCAACTTTTGTCATAATGTTTACAGCTAGTTTGAATTGACTCCATCTAATTAAAATTATATATATGTTGCATATATGTATCAGTTAAAGGGAGCGATGTGAAGATATCATTTTGATTAGATAGGAATTGACTATGTAAAAGACACAAACTTTTGTCCTGATCAGGCCAATGATTACAGCTAGTTTGACGTTGACGGAAGATATCAGCATGTGTTGTATGTTCACAGTCAGCATCACTTGCATCAGAATCCAAGACTTCAAATAAATCTACACCGAAACACCAAGATGAAGAAAAGTTAAAAAAGAGAGAATCTGAGAAGAGATCACTGGACAAGGTAAATATATATATGATAGTGATATAAAATGAATGAGAAAAACAGACAGATGGAATAGTGATATAAAATGAATGAGAAAAACAGACAGATGGAAGGAAAGGGGATGCAGAGATTCAGAGAGAGAGAGAGAGAGAAAGAGGGGGTTGGGGGAGAGAGAAACGTGTTGGGAGGGAAAGAGAGAGGGATAAAAAGAGAGGGAAGAAAGGAGGAACAGGAGAAGAGAGTGGAAGACAGAAAGATTTATGGAGGGAAGGAGCAAGGGAGAGAGAAAGAAATAAACAGGGAGGGAGAAAAGAGTGGGAAAAAGAAAGAGCAAGAAGTGAGGCTTATATATAATCACAACCTTATCTTGTTTTCCTGTAGTATAATTTTTCTTGTCTTTTTATATTAGCTGAAGAAAGAGTTGTCAGATTCATCAGAGCAGGTTCCAGTGAAGAAAGCACGCCATGAGGCACCACAAACTGTAATAAAGGTGAAGGAGGAAGAACCACCTCAAGAGACGAGAAAAGAGGAGAAGTCATCGAAGGACCGTGATAAAGAGAGGAGGAAGGAAGTAGAGAGAAAGGCAAAGATAGAGAAAGAGGAAAAGGAGCGACAAGAAAAATCAGATGACAGTGAGGATGAAGAAAAGAGTATTGATGCAGATGACTTTGCATTTGATCTGGGAATTGCTTGTGTTGTGTGCAAGTAAGTTTAAGTAGGATGTTTGTAGAGAGAGTTGGTGTTTGGCATTTTCCATCATTTGTAATATAAATTTAAAATGTTCATGTTTTCTACAGTTTCAGAAACATTTTGTATGGTAATGTTGTTTGGGTCTTTTCTCTTTTATGTTTTACTTACAGGTGAAAAAAAGCTGATGCCTGATAGATGAAGAATATCAAATATCAAAATGAGAATGGGTCTTTTTTTAAATATTAAGTGTCCTGCAAATGGTGTTTTATTGCAGTATATCAATTTGTTAATACATAAATTTTCTCAACATCAGGTTAATGTAATTTATTTTTTATTGTATTTGTCTTTATTACAATAATTATTTTCTTTTATAACAAAAACCCCATGAAATTGCATATGAAATACATACCATTGTATGTGTTGGATTTTCATAGATTAAGAAAAAGAAAAACTAAGTTATTTTTATCAGAAAACTTAAGAGAAATTAACAAATTCAAAAATGCTGAAAAAAAATCTTCTTAGAACTTTCATTTAAAAAAATATGTCTTAGAAGACTAAACCAGATGTTTTTATTTCTTTGAATTTTGCATCTTTGCCAGAGAAGGTGTCAGGTAGAGGGGAGCAGTTTCATAATGTGTTTATACTTGCAGAGGCTTTGATGTGACATCTGGAAATCAGCTTGTGGAATGTCAGGAATGTCATAACCTGTACCATCAGGTTGGTGCCTTCATCAGTATTTCATTACTGTTTTTTAACCTTCAGATTGAGGATGTGACAATATTACTAGTGGTGAAGTTTGTCACTTGTCACTAACACTTAATAGGTATACTCCGAGATGGGATTCAGAAAGAGCTATAATCAATGCAAGCAGGTTATCTTGACAAATAATACTGTTAGGGGAAAAACATTTCTAAAAAATGTTGAAATATAATAAATTCTTATTATAAACTTTATTTAGTTTACAACAATTGTGAAACAAGTTATTCAATTTATATTAATCACTCTTGTTGGCCCGGCTGTTAGCGTGCAGGGGTCTTTGTATGGGAGGAAACCGGAGAACTCGGAGAAAACCCACGTGGTCGGGCAGGTGACCCCATGTCCCCATACCTTTTCACTGATCGGGGAATCGAACCCTGGCAGCCTTGGTGAAAGACAAGTGCGCTATCCACTGCACCACGCGACCACCCAATAAATTCTTAACAAAGTAGAAAGCATAAGAAAAAAAAATCTAAGATTTACATATATAGGTCTTTGCAGGTTTCTCTGTTAAATTTACACTACAATATATATCAAACCCGATATGAAACCAACTGTTAGAGATATGTGTTTTCTTGTGATGAAATAAAAAAAAAATCAAATTTTTATTGCCATTTTGGGGGATACTAAAAACTAGGTCTAATGAAAGTTGGTTAAATATATACACAAATCTTTCCAAGTTGATATATTTCAGGAGTGTATGATCAGGCTTGTACAAACCTAGTCGATGGGAATCTAAGACATGCTTCAACCAATGTTTTTATATAACTTTTGTCATTTGTAATCATTGATACAAAAAACAAAATAGTCACCTTGACAGACTGGTTATAGTGAGAGATGATTTTGCAGGGAATCTATTAAAAAAATAATAGTGAAACTCATTAATTTAAATTTCATGTGCCTGCTTCCATCTTATGGTTTGCAAAGAGAAATATCTCTACTGTATGAGTAAACTTTCACAAATTTATATTGCAAAATTGTTGAACTTTAACAAATTATCAATGCAAAATTGTTGAACTTTAACAAATTTTAATTGCAAAAAAAAGAGGTTTTATAGAAACAAATAAGAGAAATTGTGATGATAATATCAGAAACTGTATTTTTTTTGTTTATTAATGTGAAAATACAAGAGAGAATAATGATAACAAGGGCTATTGTAAGGACCTGTTGACAAGGAAAAAAACAGTGCTTTTCTTGCATTATATAGCTATCACAAAATAGTACATTTGTATATGTCACATCGGTGTGGCACAATATATGATGGCCACATTTCTGTGACTGTTACAGGAGTGCCACAAACCCCCAGTGACAGAACAGGATGTCAACGACCCGCGGTTTGTATGGTACTGTACCAGATGTACCAAGACCATGAAGAAAATGGTAAGTCTAAAATCTGTGGATGGACCGGATGGCTAATGGAATTGGTTGTTACACGGCGGAGGTGGGGTAGGGATGGGCGGCGTCACAGCATGACATTTCAATGTGTATAGTTATTCATTATTTACATTATTGCATGGTCATAGATACATATGATGAATGAAAGAAAAGAATTACTAATGCACTTGTTAAAGAAAAATATTGTTCATTAATGACTAATTTTCCTCTTTTGCAATGGATACCTTTTTCACAGGGTAGTACATTAAATGGAAATGTTCCATAATTTAAACAGAGACAACTTTGTTACTACATTTAAAAGGGAAGTTGGGGGGGGNGATGGTGGGCTCTTTTGTGTATTTGGTGATGCAGTACTGTCCTTAGGGAAGATACTGTAATTATAGATGTAGCCCAAGTTTCCTCTGGCACTAACACCAGGCTTAGACATTTTGGCAGATAGATGTCTGGTGTGTCAAGTCTGGTGTTAGGGCCAGAGGAAACTCAGGCTATTATAGATGTTGTGTGTGGTATTTTCATGATCTGCATTGTTCCCAAGTAAATGTTAAACAGACATGGCAATGTTGTCACATGCTTATGTTTTTTTTGTGGTTATTGAAGGAGGCAAAAGAAAGATAGCACAAACTCAGAACTATAACTCTGGCACTTGGAAGCTTTATGTGTTTTAACTCGATGTATATCAATATCTCATTCAACCATAGAATTAGGTATGGATTAGATTGCCCATTATTATTATATTGTACTTCTGATTATCCAGGCATCCGCCTCCAAGACGGTTAAGGGCAAGTCATCATCATCGTCATCATCTTCCTCCTCCTCCTCCATGCTGTCCTCCTCTAAGGAGACATCTAGTCTCAGCACCTCGGGTAGCAGTAGCAGTTCCAGCAGCAAGAGTATAAAGCCTGACCCTTCAACTCTCTTCAGCTTCCGCAGGGTCGAGGCAAAGGTCAGTGGTGCTACCCAATCACTTCAGTTCAAGAATTTTGTCTACTTTTATTGCTGTGTTATTTATTATTTGAAGTTTAAGCCACAATTAATGTGATGCACTCTTTATGATGGTGTGGATAATTCTGAAATTGGTTCAAAATTGAAGAAGTTGATATTTTGCCACTTCATGGCAGCTACACATCTGGAGTAAATAAATTATTAAGGGATGTAAGAAAGTTTGGATGGAAAGATATCACCATTGGTTACATACAAATTGAAATTTGGGCTCAAAAACCTTGGCAAGCATCAGATTTTGTCCCAAGTTCTGTGCCCTTTGATGGGATATTTTAGGTTCTTGGCTTATTACTCAGTTAAGGACAAGGAAAGGAAGGGGAGTAACTTGTATAAGCTCTTTATAGTTGGGTTCAGAAAAATGTACACAAAAACAAGTAAAGTTTATCATTTGATATGTCTTTTAAATTCTTTTTGGAAGATATTGAAATCAATCTAGCGTTGTCTAATGTATTGACCTTAGCCAATAGGAACCCAGAAAATTCCAAAAAAAAGAATGTTTGCATTATAAGACCAAACTGAGTTTGTAATAGTTTGTGAAAAACAAAGAAGTCCAGATATCAATGTTTGTAATTATTTTACTCCAGATATCAATGTTTGTAATTATTTTACTCCAGATATCAATGTTTGCAATTATTTTACTCCAGATATTAATGTTTGTAATTATTTTACTCCAGATATCAATGTTTGTAATTATTTGTGATAAACAAAGTAGTCCATACATCAAAGTTTGTAATTATTTGTGATAAACAATGTAGTCCAGACATCAAAGTTTGTAATTATTTGAGCTAAACAAAGTAGTCCAGATATCAAAGTTTGTAATTATTTGGTATAAACAAAGTAGTCCAGATATCAAAGTTTGTAATTATTTGTTATAAACAAAGTAGTCCAGACATCAAAGTTTGTAATTATTTGTGATACACAAAGTAGTCCAGACATCAAAGTTTGTAATTATTTCTGATAAACAAAGAAGTCCAGATATCAAAGTTTGTAATTATTTGTGATTAACAAGGTAGTCCAGACATCAAAGTTTGTAATTATTTCTGATAAACAAAGAAGTCCAGATATCAAAGTTTGTAATTATTTGTTTGTAATTATTTGTGATAAACAAGGTAGTTCAGACATCAAAGTTTGTAATTATTTGTGATACACAAAGTAGTCCAGACATCAAAGTTTGTATTACTTGTGATAAACAAAGTAGTCCAGATATCAAAGTTTGTAATTATTTGTTTGTAATTATTTGTGATAAACAAGGTAGTTCAGACATCAAAGTTTGTAATTATTTGTGATTAACAAGGTAGTCCAGACATCAAAGTTTGTAATTATTTGTGATTAACAAGGTAGTCCAGACATCAAAGTTTGTAATTATTTGTGATTAACAAGGTAGTCCAGACATCAAAGTTTGTAATTATTTGAGCTAAACAAAGTAGTCCAGATATCAAAGTTTGTAATTATTTGGTATAAACAAAGTAGTCCAGATATCAAAGTTTGTAATTATTTGTTTGTAATTATTTGTGATAAACAAGGTAGTCCAGATATCAAAGTTTGTAATTATTTGTTATAAACAAAGTAGTCCAGATATCAAAGTTTGTAATTATTTGTTTGTAATTATTTGTGATAAACAAGGTAGTCCAGACATCAAAGTTTGTAATTATTTGTGATAAACAAGGTAGTCCAGACATCAAAGTTTGTAATTATTTGTGATAAACAAGGTAGTCCAGACATCAAAGTTTGTAATTATTTGTGATAAACAAGGTAGTCCAGACATCAAAGTTTGTAATTATTTGTGATAAACAAGGTAGTCCAGACATCAAAGTTTGTAATTATTTGTGATAAACAAGGTAGTCCAGACATCAAAGTTTGTAATTATTTGTGATAAACAAGGTAGTCCAGACATCAAAGTTTGTAATTATTTGTGATAAACAAGGTAGTCCAGACATCAAAGTTTGTAATTATTTGTGATAAACAAGGTAGTCCAGACATCAAAGTTTGTAATTATTTGTGATAAACAAGGTAGTCCAGACATCAAAGTTTGTAATTATTTGTGATAAACAAGGTAGTCCAGACATCAAAGTTTGTAATTATTTGTGATAAACAAGGTAGTCCAGACATCAAAGTTTGTAATTATTTGTGATAAACAAAGTAGTCCAGACATCAAAGTTTGTAATTATTTGTGATTAACAAGGTAGTCCAGACATCAAAGTTTGTAATTATTTGTGATAAACAAGGTAGTCCAGACATCAAAGTTTGTAATTATTTGTGATAAACAAGGTAGTCCAGACATCAAAGTTTGTAATTATTTGTGATAAACAAGGTAGTCCAGACATCAAAGTTTGTAATTATTTGTGATAAACAAGGTAGTCCAGACATCAAAGTTTGTAATTATTTGTGATAAACAAGGTAGTCCAGACATCAAAGTTTGTAATTATTTGTGATAAACAAGGTAGTCCAGACATCAAAGTTTGTAATTATTTGTGATAAACAAGGTAGTCCAGACATCAAAGTTTGTAATTATTTGTGATAAACAAGGTAGTCCAGACATCAAAGTTTGTAATTATTTGTGATAAACAAGGTAGTCCAGACATCAAAGTTTGTAATTATTTGTGATAAACAAGGTAGTCCAGACATCAAAGTTTGTAATTATTTGTGATAAACAAGGTAGTCCAGACATCAAAGTTTGTAATTATTTGTGATAAACAAGGTAGTCCAGACATCAAAGTTTGTAATTATTTGTGATAAACAAGGTAGTCCAGACATCAAAGTTTGTAATTATTTGTGATAAACAAGGTAGTCCAGACATCAAAGTTTGTAATTATTTGTGATAAACAAGGTAGTCCAGACATCAAAGTTTGTAATTATTTGTGATAAACAAGGTAGTCCAGACATCAAAGTTTGTAATTATTTGTGATAAACAAGGTAGTCCAGACATCAAAGTTTGTAATTATTTGTGATAAACAAGGTAGTCCAGACATCAAAGTTTGTAATTATTTGTGATAAACAAGGTAGTCCAGACATCAAAGTTTGTAATTATTTGTGATAAACAAGGTAGTCCAGACATCAAAGTTTGTAATTATTTGTGATAAACAAGGTAGTCCAGACATCAAAGTTTGTAATTATTTGTGATAAACAAGGTAGTCCAGACATCAAAGTTTGTAATTATTTGTGATAAACAAGGTAGTCCAGACATCAAAGTTTGTAATTATTTGTGATAAACAAGGTAGTCCAGACATCAAAGTTTGTAATTATTTGTGATAAACAAGGTAGTCCAGACATCAAAGTTTGTAATTATTTGTGATAAACAAGGTAGTCCAGACATCAAAGTTTGTAATTATTTGTGATAAACAAGGTAGTCCAGACATCAAAGTTTGTAATTATTTGTGATAAACAAGGTAGTCCAGACATCAAAGTTTGTAATTATTTGTGATAAACAAGGTAGTCCAGACATCAAAGTTTGTAATTATTTGTGATAAACAAGGTAGTCCAGACATCAAAGTTTGTAATTATTTGTGATAAACAAGGTAGTCCAGACATCAAAGTTTGTAATTATTTGTGATAAACAAAGTAGTCCAGATATCAAAGTTTGTAATTATTTGTGATAAACAAGGTAGTCCAGACATCAAAGTTTGTAATTATTTGTGATAAACAAAGTAGTCCAGATATCAAAGTTTGTAATTACTTCTGAAAACAAAGTAGTCCAGATATCAAAGTTTGTAATTACTTGTGAAAAACAAGGTAGTCCAGACATCAATGTTTGTAATTATTTGTGATAAACAAAGTAGTCCAGATATCAAAGTTTTTAATTATTTGTGATTAACAAGGTAGTCCAGACATCAAAGTTTGTAATTATTTGTGATAAACAAAGTAGTCCAGATATCAAAGTTTGTAATTACTTCTGAAAACAAAGTAGTCCAGATATAAAAGTTTATAATTATTTGTGATAAACAAAGTAGTCCAGATATCAAAGTTTGTAATTACTTGTGATAAACAAAGTAGTCCAGATATCAAAGTTTGTAATTACTTCTGAAAAACAAAGTAGTCCAGATATCAAAGTTTGTAATTACTTGTGAAAAACAAAGTAGTCCAGACACCAAAGTTTGTAATTATTTGTGATAAACAATGTAGTCCAGACATCAAAGTTTGTAATTATTTGTGATTAACAAGGTAGTCCAGATATCAAAGTTTGTAAGAGTTTGTGAGTAGGGTAAATATCATAGTCTGTAACAGTTTTGTCTTAAAGTAAAAGAGGCATTTAGTGAATAGTTTACATAGTCTGTTTTCTTTCCTTTTGGTGCAGTCATCAAGCTCCAAGGAACAAACCAGCAGCTCTGGAAATCGGCCGCTGAGTGGCCTGGCTAGTCTGGCAGCCAATCTTTCTGGAAAAAGTGATCAAGGTAAATCAATGACCAGCAGCAGTAGTAGCAGTAGTCGATCAGAATCTTCCTCCAAGTCCACAGTGAAATCAGAGCCTTCTAAAACTAGTTCTAAACATGACCACTCGGAGAAAACTTCAAGCAAGAGCAAGACCTCCGAGTCTGCAGTTAAGCCAGGTGGTATCAAACTTGGTGTAGACATATTTAAAAACTTACCAACCAAAGCGGACCCTGTGAAGTCGAGCTCTAAGTCGAGTTCGTCCAGCAGTACTGGTAGTGGAAATAGCAGCAGTAGTGCTAGCAGCAAGCAGAGTTCAGGAGGATCCAGTTCTGCAGTCAACGCTGACAAGCGATTACAGATGATGAAAAAGAAAGCAGCAGCAAAGCTGCAGGAGAAACGTTCTTCTTTAAGATGAGAAACTAGATGTAACATGAAGTATAAAAGAGAATTTGGAGTAGATATACACAAAGGACCTGGGCCATTATTTACCTAAACAATGTTAGGTAGTTCCCTAGGTTCAGACTCACTATGTATGACTTACAGCTCTCCTGTAATGTATATGTGGACTGATGACCTTTGTCACATAACCTAAAAGTCAAGGTCACTCTCAAAGCTTATGTGCACAGATACAGAATGTTTCAATAAAACTACATCTTTTTGTAGGTTATACATGCATTGGATCAATATGATGTTAAATATTGTAAAATGCTGTGATGTGTCATTTTTGTTTCTTTTCTTTTCAAACATGTGCTTCAGTTGTTAACTTCTTAATAGACTGTATAGCCATTATTTTTTCATGCATCTTTAAAACAATATTGTTTTATCATCATCTATAAAAACAGACACAGGGGTAATGACTATTGGAGTATTTAGCATTGCATCGGAAATTTAAACATTAAACAGTATTCTAATAAAAAAATAAAAATCAAATGATCCCAAACAGGGCTGTTTATTGCTTCTATTTCACATGTCAAATCAAATATTTTAAGTATTTCACATATATTTTCTAATAAAATTGCATTAAGTATCAATAACAAATTCAGATATGATACAAACAAGAATTTCTTTGTAAGGTAACTTTGGGTAAAACATTAAGTCATGTGGCCATATAAAATTACAGCAATATACACAGCAAGTCTGCAGTCCTAATCAATTATGTGAAATTACAGCAATATACACAGCTAGTCTGCAGTCCTTATCAATCAAGTTCTCATTAAGTTTCAAAAAACAGTTCTATACTCCAAAAATCAAAGGGCAACATGAACATATCTATTTTAAACATAACATACCCATAACAAGTGTATCTTTTATCTTTGAAGCTACATGTAGCATCCATAATATTCCAGTATTCTGTTTTTTTTGGCCATTAGCATGGAAATCTAATCTTAGCTCTTTCTAAATTTCCATCACAAGTAAATCATCTATTTATATATTTTAGTGACAAGATATTTTCAAGATATAATTATGATTGTATTTTTGCATTTGCATTTGCATTATAAGATGGACAGTATTCTGACAAAACATACTGAAGATCAGGTTTTCATGAAACATTACTTATTTTTGACATTTTATTGCTTTTTATTCAAGAAACTTTGAAAGGCTAAAAAACCATCAAGTTACCTGGCAGACACCAACAGGTGTTTAATCCCATCAACTTTTGTAGTTTATATATGTATATACATATCAGCTGAACTCTATGTGTCTTTTCAACAAATAACAAGTCATTTGGATTGATAGGTCTCGCCTGTGCCCTGCTTTGACCATCAATGCACATATCAGAGAAACTTACTTAAACGCAAAAATTTAATGTTGATGGAGATGCTGACAAAGTCAATGGTCCATGAAAGGTAGGCCACATCCAGCATTTAATGCATGGGTCGAGATGTACTACCTAAGATGCTGCATCATCTATGGTGCAAGATTGGTTGGTCTTGCACTTATACTTTCTTAATGTTGACGCCGCTGCCTGAAAAGCAACACCTTAGTCTTGCTTCCGCTACTTAGTCGCGCCGAGAAAAAAAATGTTTTTTTCCCACACCATCAGGTAGACAACTCTGTCTTAGGTAAGCTGACGTCATGTATATGAATTCATTGAAAATGCCATCCGGCTGTGCATTAAAGTTTGAATACAGATATGCTACCAAGATTGGCCTGAGGTCTGGTCCCACCTCTCGTGACTTAGTTTCTGGCTCTTAACTTTGAAATTGTTGGCATCCCAACCCCAGACCATATATAGATTTGCTGGGATAAAGAACCTAGCACAATCGTGATAACAAAATTGGCCATATCCCAAGGAACTTAATATGGAAACAGTTAAAGATTGCCATTTATACATTCCCCGAATAGAAGGGACAAAAACACTTTACTTCTAGGATTTGCATAAGGTTTCGTAGGTCTTACCATGGAAACAAGTTTAGATCACCAACCCATAATCAGATATATAATTGCTAGGCATGAAGAAAAGTTACCATGCTACCAGAATTGTTCTATGTGTCTGCCCCCATCCTTAGAGACTAAATAAGGCCCTGAGTCATTACATGAAAAAATTGATCCTCAATCTATAAGAATATATACCATTACCGAGCAGGTAGATTTAGATATATGCAGATACTTCTGGGTCTGGCCAACTCCCTGCAATCTTATTTGCAATACTAGTTTAATTGGAATATTTTGCCATGATTACTAGGAATATCTTGGTGAATGATACCGAACCTCAGGGCAGCTTTTTAAATAGGCATAACACTGCACCGAAGTGTTGTTAATTATAAAATTGTACATTGTTAAAGGTTGTTAAAGGCCTACCTTCAAGTAAGACGTAGGATTAATTAAATTGATGCAGACATGTTTGTTGATATTCATCATGTGAGGAAAAATACATAAGAAGCAACATTGACAAGTGATGCTGACAGTTTCCAGTCAAAAATAAATAAAGAATAACGACAACAAAAGAGGGCTGTGTATCTGTTTTTATTGGAATCTGACATGTTTGTATTTTGCTGAATAATTAGTTTGAAATCAAACAAAGAAAACACTTGTGTCACATACACCACTGGTGTCATATATCAAATACACTTGTGCCACATACACCACTGGTGTCATATATAAAATACACTTGTGTCACATACACCACTGGTGTCATATACCAAAAACACTGGTGTCACATACAAACAACATTGGTGTCACAAACCAACAACACTGGTGTCACCTACAAACAACACTGATGTCATACACCAACAACACTAGTGTCACATAATACAACACTGATGTCACACACCATCAACCCTGATGTCACACCCCAACAACACTGGTGTCACACCCAAGCAACACTGATGCCACACACAAATGAAATCAAACAAAGAAAACACTTGTGTCACATACGCCACTGGTGTCATATATCAAATACACTGGTGTCCCATCCACCACTGGTGTCATATATCAAATACACTGGTGTCCCATCCACCACTGGTGTCATATATCAAATACACTGGTGTCCCATCCACCACTGGTGTCATATATCAAATACACTGGTGTCCCATCCACCACTGGTGTCATATATCAAATACACTTGTGCCACATACACCACTGGTGTCATATATCAAATACACTGGTGTCACATACACCACTGGTGTCATATACCAAAAACACTGGTGTCACATACACCACTGGTGTCATATATAAAATACACTTGTGTCACATACACCACTGGTGTCATATATAAAATACACTTGTGTCACATACACCACTGGTGTCATATATAAAATACACTTGTGTCACATACACCACTGGTGTCATATACCAAATACACTTGTGTCACATACACCACTGGTGTCATATATCAAATACACTTGTGCCACATACACCACTGGTGTCATATATAAAATACACTTGTGTCACATACACCACTGGTGTCATATATCAAATACACTTGTGCCACATACACCACTGGTGTCATATATCAAATACACTTGTGTCACATACACCACTGGTGTCATATATAAAATACACTTGTGTCACATACACCACTGGTGTCATATACCAAATACACTTGTGTCACATACACCACTGGTGTCATATACCAAATACACTTGTGTCACATACACCACTGGTGTCATATACCAAAAACACTGGTGTCACATACACCACTGGTGTCATATATAAAATACACTTGTGTCACATACACCACTGGTGTCATATATCAAATACACTTGTGCCACATACACCACTGGTGTCATATATCAAATACACTTGTGCCACATACACCACTGGTGTCATATATAAAATACACTTGTGTCACATACACCACTGGTGTCATATACCAAAAACACTGGTGTCACATACAAACAACATTGGTGTCACAAACCAACAACACTGGTGTCACCTACAAACAACACTGATGTCATACACCAACAACACTAGTGTCACATAATCTGTTTTTATTGGAATCTGACATGTTTGTATTTTGCTGAATAATTAGTTTGAAATCAAACAAAGAAAGCACTTGTGTCACATACACCACTGGTGTCATATATCAAATACACTTGTGCCACATACACCACTGGTGTCATATATAAAATACACTTGTGTCACATACACCACTGGTGTCATATATAAAATACACTTGTGTCACATACACCACTGGTGTCATATACCAAATACACTTGTGTCACATACACCACTGGTGTCATATACCAAAAACACTGGTGTCACATACAAACAACACTGGTGTCACATACAAACAAGACTGATGTCACACGCCAACAACACTGATGCCCTACACCAACAACACTGATGTCACATACCAACAAAACTGGAGACACATACAAACAACACTGATGTCACACACCAACACCACTGGTGTCACACACAAGCAACACTGATGCCACACCCAAACAACACTGATGCCACACACCAACAATACTGATGTCACACACCAACAACACTGGAGTCACACACAAGCAACACTGATGCCACACACCAGCAACACTGATACTGGTGTCACAAACCAACAACACCTGTGTCACATACACCACTGGTGTCATATATCAAATACACTGGTGTCACATACACCACTGGTGTCATATATCAAATACACTGGTGTCACATACAAACAACACTGATGCCCCACACAAACAACACTGGTGTCACACACCAACAACACTAGTGTCACATAATACAACACTGATGTCACACACCATCAACACTGATGTCACACACCAACAACACTGGTGTCACACACAAGCAACACTGAAGCCACACACAAACAACACTGATGCCACACACCAACAATACTGATGTCACACACCAACAACACTGGTGTCATACACCAATAACACTGGTGTCACATACAAACACCACTGGTGTCACACACCAACAACACTAGTGTCACATAATACAACACTGATGTCACACACCAACAACACTGATGCCCTACACCAACAACACTGATGTCACATACCAACAACACTGGCGTCACACACCAACAACACTGATGCCCCACACAAACAACACTGGTGTCACACACCAACAACACTAGTGTCACATAATACAACACTGATGTCACACACCAACAACACTGATGTCAAATACCAACAACACTGGTGTTACACACCAACAACACTAGTGTCACATAATACAACACTGATGTCACACAACATCAACACTGATGTCACACACCAACAACACTAGTGTCACATAATACAACACTGATGTCACACAACATCAACACTGATGTCACACACCAACAACACTGGAGTCACACACCAATAACACTGGTGTCACATACAAACAAGACTGATGTCACACACCAAGAACACTGATATCACACACCAACAACACTGGTGTCACAAACAAGCAACACTGATGCCACACACCAACACCACGGAGGCCACACACCAACAACACCGATGTCACACACCAACAACACTGGAGTCACACACCAATAACACTGGTGTCACATACAAACACCACTGGTGTCACACACCAACAACACTAGTGTCACATAATACAACACTGATGTCACACAACATCAACACTGATGTCACACACCAACAACACTGGAGTCACACACCAATAACACTGGTGTCACATACAAACACCACTGGTGTCACACACCAACAACACTAGTGTCACATAATACAACACTGATGTCACACAACATCAACACTGATGTCACACACCAACAACACTGGTGTCACATACATACAACACTGATGTCACACACCATCAACACTGATGTCACACACCAACAACACTAGTGTCACATAATACAACACTGATGTCACACACCAACAACACTGGTGTCACACACCAACAACACTGGTGTCACACACAAGCAACACTGATGCCACACACCAACACCACTGATGCCACACACCAACAACACCGATGTCACACACCAACAACACTGGTGTCATACACCAATAACACTGGTGTCACATACAAACAACACTGGTGTCACACACCAACAACACTGATGCCACACACCAACAACACTGGTGTCACATACAAACAACACTGATGTCACACACCAACAACACTGATGCCACACACCAACAACACCGATGTCACACACCAAATACACTGGAATCGCACACAAACCACAGTTACATCATTTCAACACACCAACTGGTCATTTAATTAGTATGCCATGACGATTGCATTATTTTAATCATCATGAAGTAAAGTAATTTCTGTATAATGTTCACTGTCAATCTCTTCAATGGTGTCATAACTTGAATTCCTTGTGAATGTATTGTGTGCTGTCGAGACCAATGCATTGTTTAAGGCCTTGATACGTTCTTTTTACAATACCTCATAACTCACATATCCATTCCAGATATCTAAATTATAACATAGTAAATCATGAAACAAAATCAACTCTTATACATAATAGGTATATCAATAAATAGGTTGTCTTCATACATAAATATATCCAGATACATGTGTAGGTATATATTACACATGTGTGTCTTAACGGTACATCATTATAGTTTTGTATTAGTCACACCATTGGATGAGAGATTTAGCATCGGTATTCTGTGTCCATCTTTGGATTCTACATTAACCTCAAATTGTCCATTAGACCAAAAAGCCTTTTTCATACGGGTGTATTTCTGTTTCATCTCCTCTATAGTAACATGTATTGACATCATGGGGTTCTTCTTCTCAAAGTCGGGTAGCTCCGGATACAATTCATTACCTATAGAAAAACAAATGTTACAAATTAACAATAAAAGGAATTAAAAAAGTGACAATGCTGTCATTAAGTAATGGACTTTGCTTTTTCCAGCAGGAAAAAAACAACCTTTTGGATCACTGAAATACATGTAGGTACATCATAATTTGTGTTAAATGCTGTAAGATCAGAATGTTTAAATTTTGTAAAACTTTCCTGTTAAATATGTGAACTGGTCAGACAAAATTAATATAGAATTCTGTGTCAGTATCAGAACAAGAGCCCCCCCCCCACACTCACCCACACACACCCACTCACCCACACACACACACACTCACCCACACACCCACACACTCACCCACACACACACCCACTCACCCACACACACACACACTCACCCACACACCCACACACTCACCCACACACACACCCACACACACACACTCACCCACACACACTCACCCACACACACACCCACTCACCCACACACACAGGCTGCTAAATGAGTTCACTCTTCCCTCCAGAGAAAGGGGTTGTTAGAACCTTAAATCAACTGTTTTTAGCACATCTTTACCTAGGTCAACCGTCCAATCACTACAGAAACAGGTAACGGGAAAGTATCTCTCTACACGACTGAAAGTCTTATAGCCCTTGTCCATACACAGTGGTTACGTTTGTCGGCTCTGATGAAGTTGAGCATTCGCCACACCTCGTACGCTTGTGGTTGGGGTAGTTCTCCTTCATAACGATCCTTCATAATTTTGTCTGGAGAGGAC